AATTAAGTATAATATGTTAAAAGTTAAAAACATAACTTTATAAGTATAAGTAATATATTATTCTAATATTGAAATTTAGTTTATATACGATTACACTTTAGGTTTGAAATTTATTTAACCTTATTAACCAACTTTTAATTATTATTAGAAAGAAATAGAAAAGTCATGCAAGTTTCAAATGAACGTGGTGAAAGGAAAAATGGATGGGAGTTTCCAATGAATGTGGTAAAAGGAAAAATTCTTCCTTTATAATATAGTATGATATGATATGATGATATAATATGGATATAGATAGATATGTTTTCTTAAATATAACGATAACTTTGTTAAATTTGATATAATAATTCGTATACTAAGTTTATATAACATATTGATTATTTTGAATTATATGATAATATATACATCTATTAAAACTGTATAATCTCAATCATTTGAATGATCTCTACCCGTGGCTTACTCATGAATGAAAATAAAGAATAATATATGGTGCAATGTTTTTTTATAGTTGCTGTTATTATTGTTAATAATTTCTAAAAATTTATTTAGCCAATGTTTTAATTTATATCATTGTAATTATTTAAAACATTAAACATTGTTTTTTGTTTTAAAGGTAACAATATAATCATTTATACAGAGTTATTTTTAATTATTGTTATTGTATGTTATTTTAAGCTACTTATTTGAAGACTTTTAATAATTATAAAAATATCTTTAGGAAACATTTTAGTTAAATTAAGATTACAATTTAGTTTGTGAATTTAGCACTACAATTTATCACTTTTAAGTATTCATAAAATATTCTTTGGGTTTTTTTGTATGGAACTTAAATATATATTTAAGTTGACCATGTAATGTTGTATTTAAATTAACAATTGAAGTATTTTATCCAAATTGTTCAAAAATTGTAGCTTTAAACTGATAATATTTTAAAAGTTAAAGACATAACTTTATATATAAAAGTAAAAATATTATTTTATTATTAAAATTTAGTTTATTTATGATTACACTTTAGGTTTGATATTTATTTAGCTCTATTAACCAATTTATAATTATTATTAGAAAGACACTCAATTTATCACTTTTAACTATTTACAAAACATTTTTTTGGGTTTTTTCAAGTTAAACTAAAATTTATATTTAAGTTAACAATGTAATGTTATATTTAAATTAACAATTTAAATATTTTATCCAAATTGTTCAAAAGTTGTAGCTTTAAATTAATAATGGTTTACATTCAACAATATTTTAAAGCTATTAAATTTAATATAATATGTCAAAAGTTACAGACATAAGTTTGTAAGTAAAAGTAAAAATATTATTTTGATATATAAATTTAGTTTATATATGATTACACTTTAGGTTTTATATTTATTTAACCTTATTAACCAACTTATAATCATTATTAGAAAGAAATTGAAAAGTCCTGGGAGTTTCAAATGAAGGTGGTGAAAAGAAACATGTTTCGCTTATAAGTATCGTAGGCGAATACCCGCGCGTGTCGGAGAATACAACAATATATTTGAAATGTTTACAAATATATTATTTTTTAAAATATATCAATGACGTTGTTTTTAGCTCTTATATAGTAAATTGGTATTGACATTGTTTTTTTTTAAATTATATAATAATGTAGACATCTTTTAAAATTCTATAATCTTAATTGTCTCAATGGCATCTATGTGTGAGTTACTCATGGATAAAATTCAATATAACATATGATTTAATGATAATTATAGTTGTTGTTATGATTAATTAATTTAAAAATGTTTATTTGTTTAAGATTTGAATTTCTATCATTGTGATTATTTAAAACATTAAACATTATTTTTTGTTTTTAACGGTAACAATATAATTTTTTATATAACGTTACTTTTAACTATTGTTGTTGTTGTGAGTTATTTAAATTAACGTTTTTGGAAACTCTTAATTATTTTAATTTTGTTTCAAGCATTTTACTTTTTTTAAATTTATTTAATGAATATTGTTGGATTCTTTGATTGTAATTATTTAAAACAACAAACAATGTTTTTGTTTTTAAAGATAACATTATAATTTTTTTTATATAATAATGCTTTTATCTATTTTTCTTGTAAGTTATTTTTATGTTACTTATGTTAACATTCTTAATGATTATAAAAATAGTTTCATAGTTTTTTTTTTTTTGGTTAATTTATGATTACAATTTCGGTTTAACACTATAACTTATAATTTTTAACTGTTTATAAAATAGTCTCTTGATTCTTTTCAAGTTTAACATAAATTTTGATTTAAGTTAAGTGTTTAATATCTTATTGAAGTTAATAATTTAACTATTTTGCATAAAATCATAAATAAACAAAAGTTTTGACTTTAAAATGACTATTATTCACATACGACAACAAATTTAAACTAATAAATTAACTATAATATGTTAAAATACTAAAGTCATTATTTTATAAATAGAAGTAAAATATGATATTTTAATATTTTAATTTAGTAAATTTAGTATTATAATTTAGTTTTTGTATTATTTTAACATTATTAACCAATTTATAAAAATTATTAGAAAATATTGAAAAGTCATGGAGGATTCAAATGCATGTGGTGCAAGTAAAAATATATCTTTTATAAGTATACTAGACGAATTCTTGCACGTTGTGCAACGTAGGTTAAAAATATATTGTTAAAATGTTGAAAAATATATGTTCAAAATGGTTATGTTATTAAAATTAACTTTCACATACTATTTTAAACAATATTATTCATCGACATAAACCCACCTTCGTTATTAATAAAATTATATATAATTATCTATGCAAAATTGTTTTTAACAATTGTTATGATTGATTAATTTAAATGTTTAGTTATGTGATTATTTTATAATTTTAATAATGATATTTATTTAAAATACAATGTATTTGTTATTAACGTTATCCGACTTATAAATCGATATTATTATCATTTAAAATTATTGTTATTTAGTTTTAAACCATTTATTGTTATTAATAAGTTAAAAAAAAAGACTTTTAATAAACACTTTATATTACTATTAAAATGTGAAACATAGTAAAATGTTAAGATAGACAATTTGCGCTTCAAAAGAAACTTGCATGGATAATATGACATATCCATGATTTTTATAATTTGATCTTATTATTTATAATTATTGTTCATTACTTTTAAAACCACTTATTATTATTAATAAATGAAAGAAAACTTTTAAAAGACACTTCGTATTATAATTAAAATTTTAAACATATACTAAAATATAAAATGATAAGATAGACAATTTGTATTTTAAAAAAGACTTACATGGATAATATGGATAATATTATATATCAATGATTTTTAATTAATTATTACTTTGAAGCAGCTCAAACATACAAACATATATACAATATTTAATTAAATATTATCTATATCACTTTCCATAACATTTGATCGATAACATGAATCTAATCTAATTAAATTTAAGTTTCAACCATATCATACAATGATTGTCGTAAAAGAATATTTAAACCAATCGAAATATAAAAAAAGATATGGTATATAACAAACTTACAAATTAAAAACTTTAACATAATAACATGTTTCGAACAATAATCCAAAGCCCTTATACCAACACAAAACCTTTAAACTTGTTTTCTTTGTAAATTTTGTATATGATTTGGATTGGTGTGTCTAATCAAAGAGAATGACTTTTTTATACTAGATTATCAATTAGTAGTTTATTAAACATATTATATAAGTTATAAAACCTTTCATGATTTGTGATTAATTATTTTGAAAGTGAAAATGTATGGGGGTTTTAAATGCATTAGATGATATGAAAAATATCTCATTTATAAGTATAGTATGATATATATATATATATATATATATATATATATATATATATAGGGAAAACTACAATAAAGTCCCTATGTATTGCTCGTATAATCGATTTAGCCCCTATATATATATTTTTTGCAATTTAGTCCTAAATACCTGTAAACGTAATCAAAACCGGATATTTAATGGGTTAGCCGGTATCTAACTGATGTGGCAGCTTCCTTGGAAGTCATCATGTTAAATAACATCCTACGTGCCATTATAGAGGGCTAAATCATTGAATCGAGCTCGTCTTCTTCATTCTCCAGTCAAATGAGCGAACGATTAGGGCAAATTGGAAACATGAAATCGATGTCGAGTTCGTCAAGCACCAACATCAGAATGTGCTATTGTGGAGATAGGGTTGGTATGTGGACATCATGGATTCGAAAGAATCCGGGTCGGAGGTTTTTTGGTTGCCCAAATTACATGGTATAGAATCTTCAAATCTCACCCAAATTCTTCTAATCCTCTAAAATTCCCATTTTTCTGTGTTAAAAACATGCATCTTGCTTTGTTATGTAGGATGAAGAGAAGGACTGTGGGTATTTTCGTTGGATTGACCCACCACTATTGAATAAGTGGTATAAAGAAAGAATGTATGAATTAGGAGCTGTTGCTAATGGGGGTGTAGCTATTTCATTCAATAACCCTATTAATGAAGGTGAAATACCTATTGATGGCCCTATTGCCCATATGAATGTTGATGTCCCTATTTCCCCTGTGAATGCTCTTGAACCTGATAATCAAATTACAATGCGTGAGAATACACATGTGCCTGGTAATGAATTTGGATTCTACAAGTGGATGATGGTTTGTTTCGTTTGTTTCATTGTAGGGATGATGTATGCTTAGTTTAGTGTAAGTTGTAAGGTATTATGGTATGGTAGGGATGATGTAGTCTTTTCGTTTGTTATAATGATGTAATAGATGGAGGAGGGTTTACTGTAATAGATAAATGTTCTTGTGGATCATGTAATATTTTGGTTAATGAAATGGAAATATGTTATTATGGTTTTCATAAATGGTGTACACTAGTGTAATATAACCATGATTTAACAATTGGTGTTGAATTTGGGGCTAGAATGATTACCATTGACAACAAACCAATGAAGTATGCACACTTGTGGCTAAAATAATTAAACAACAAACTCCAATATGTCATTACCAACCATGTTAAGGGCATTCACAATGTTTCAATGTGTTTACAAAAGATGTACAAAATATGGCTATCAGTAATTTAAGGGCATTCACAAAAGATGTACAAAAGTAGCATTCACAAAAGATTCACAAAAGATGTACCAAAATACCCTTACTACCCTTAACACCCTAACACCCTAATCTAACTCCAATGCTGAACTTGCATAAGTCCCAACACATCCCATCTTCTTCAGCTTGTTTTTAACAATCCTCTGAGAGGGCCTTCTTCTTTTCACAATCCTAAGGTGTACTGGTAATTCCTGGGTGTCATTAATGCCTTCTTCTTCTTCACTTTCTGGTTGTGTCTCAAGGATAATTTCTTCACCCCCATCTTCTGTCTCAGTCTGAGGTGGATACTCCTCTTCCTATAAAACATCAAGAAATTAATAACATAAATGAATGTAAACATTAAGGTAATATAGAGGGTTTACCATAGACATAGGAAGAACTTGTTCAATAGTGTCATTGTAATCATTAAGTTGCTTCATACGTGAATTTGTCAGACTAAGTGAATTTTTAATTTCTTCAATTGAATACCCTGATTGTTTCAAATCTTGCATTGACTTCCATAAATGGACTAAATATTTTTCAGGAATAGTGTCATACTCATTTTCAACTGTATCACCTTCAACTTCAGCACCTCTACCAACTTCAACTCTAACAGATGTCCTACTGCCCCTACCACCTCTTTTACTACCCCTACCACCTCTCTTACTACCCCTACCACCTCTGTTAGCCACTACACCACCTATGTTACCCACTGCACCACCTCTATTACCCCCTCTACCACCTCTACTACCCATTGCACCACCTCTACTACCTCTAGCACCACCTCTTACACCACCTCTAGTCCAATGACTGATATCAGGATCCAATCTTGGTCTACCCATTTTTTTCTTGGGTTTGGGTTCTGGTGTGACCTTGGGATTCTTACAGGATGCCTTGTTATGACCCCTTTGAAGACAATTTTTGCATTGGATTGTCCTTCCTATTCCAGTAACCTTCATCTTGTTTTGGGAGTATTTATCTTGAGATTCAGTGAGATGCCTCTTTCTTTTCAGAGTTGGTCTCCCTGGCATTCTTCTAGCTAAAGGGGGTAGAGGCTTTATGAAACGACCCAAAAAAAAAAAATTCATTTTTCAATATAATCAAAACCATAATATAAGTATCATAACATACGCGATGTATCCCCAAAACATAATAAAATATTGTGCGGAAAACTGTATCATACTACATCAATCCAAAACATCAAAGGACATCCCCAGGATAAAAACTATGATGTGGTGTGTGCGATGCTGTCACCCCGAGCTCTTCCCTTTGCTTGCGGAAGTACCTGAAACCAAAACTGAAACTGTAAACACGAAACTTAGTGAGCTCCCCCAAAATACCACATATCATACAATAACATATAAACACATATTGGGCCCCGCCCACTGCATCGGGCCGAAACCCGGAAACTGCATCGGACCGAGGTCTGGAACTGACTGGGATCTTGTCCCCTGCATCGGACCGAAGTCTGGAACTAACTGCATCGGACCGAAGTCCGGAACTAACTGCATCGGACCGAAGTCCGGAACTAACTGGGACCTTGTCCCCTGCATCGGACCAAAGTCCGGAACTAACTGACTGATCATAGCATGGCATATCAACTAGCATGAACACATATACTGCATACTGCATCGGGCCGTAGCCCGGAACACATAACATATAACACATAGCACATAAAACCTGTCTGAGCCACGAAGGCATCAAACATACCAACTACTACATTGAACCGAAGTCCGGAAACTACTGCTAACTGGACGGGCCGGCATTGTGGCCTTAGACCCGTCCCTACTGGAAGGAAACTCACCTCGTAAGCTAGCTGATGAGTGTACGGCTCGGGAAGCTAACGGCTGCTGCTCCTGAATCTCCTCGGCTACAAGTCCATAAACACAGTCAATCAAATACTAACACTGCACTTGGGGGTAAAATGACTCTTTTACCCTTGGTCAAAGTCAACTCACTTTGGGCTGACTCGCCGAGTCGGGCTACCCAACTCGCCGAGTCCTAGTCTCACCTCTCAGCTCTACACGCTGCTACTCGTCGAATGTGGCATCGACTCGACGAGTACCCTCTGGATCCAAGAACTCAGACAATCTTCATCCGACTTGCCGAGTCGTAAGAACAGACTCGACGAGTTGTTCTTGATCCCAAGAAGATTGCCTTGGACTCGCCGAGTTGTATGAACAAACTCGCCGAGTCCCTCCATCACTGAGTCTACTCTCAACTCGCTGAGTCCACTCCCTAACTCACCTCGTCCACTCGACACTGATAAAACTAAAGAACTCGGGACTCGCGACCCAACTCGTAGAGTCGTTCTTCCGACTCGCCGAGTTCCCGCCATGCAACTGATTTTTACTCAATTTTGTTTGAATCCAATGCATACAATTGATAGATCTGAGTCCAATAAGCTGTTTTACCACGTAAAGTTTCCAACTTTACGTGCACAACCTCATGAATAAGGGAAATAAGGCTAAAAGATGCAATAAAATGGGTAGATCTATGGTTAACATGCAATATAACTCCAAAAAGACAGTATATCTGGGCTCTACAACACCCCAACATTCAGATCCATAGATATTTCGACTTAATAAGACGTTGATGCAAGTGCAAGGCTTGGAACAAGCATCAACTAGCTCTTAGGAGAGCTCTAATGGAAGTTCAAAGCATATAACAAGATGGAACTCCGAAAATACTTCAATTAACTCTGATTTGGCCTTGGATCTTTGCACTACAACACTCCTACTTGCTTCTTTCTTCTTCTCCTTCTTCACACCTTCACAAAATGGCACCAAAACACATATAAGCTCTTCAAGGGAGGTTTAGGGTTTTAACACTGCGTTCTCAGGGTGAGGGAGGCGAGGATGGGGGCTATAAGGTGGTATAAATAGTGGGCAACCCGGGGATTTAGGGTTTCACCCAGACGGATGGACTCGCCGAGTCCATATTATGGACTCGCCGAGTCCCCGGCTCACGCGTGCCCTCAGGCGCGACCCTACTCGGCGAGTCAGGCTATGAACTCGCCGAGTCCTTCTTGAAAAACTCACTATAATTACCAATAAATCAACATACCGGGAACGGGTCGTTACAATTCTCCCCCACTTGTCTCAGACTTCGTCCTCGAAGTCTGTTACGACTGGATCCGCAAATAACTCCGGGTAGTGCGCTCTCATTTCCTCTTCAGCCTCCCACGTCCACTCAGACCCCTTCCGGTGCTGCCACTGCACCTTTACTAGCTGAATTACCTTGTTCCTCAAGGTCTTGGTCTTCCGTTCCAGAATCGCGACCGGCTTCTCGATATAATTTAGGCCGCTATCAACCTGAATGTCCTCTAAGGGAATGACTGCTGTCTCATCCACCAAACACTTCCTCAACTGCGACACGTGGAAGGTGTTGTGTATCAGACTAAGCTCCTCAGGAAGATCTAACCGATAAGCAACCCGAACCACTCGGGCCAAAACCCTGAAAGGACTAATAAATCTGGGGCCCAATTTGCCTCTCTTCCGGAACCTGATGACACCTTTCCAAGGTGAGACTTTCAGAAGAACCATATCTCCCACCTGGAACTCCAAGTCCGAATGCCTCCTGTCGGCGTAGCTCTTCTGCCGACTCTGCATAGTCTGCAGCCTACTACGGACCTGCTGGATCAATTCCGTCGTCTTGAGCACCACTTCGGTGCTCCCTATGACTCGCTGACCGACCTCGCCCCAACAAATCGGGGTCCTGCACTTCCTGCCATATAACATCTCAAAAGGAGGTCGATCCATGCTCGCATGATAACTGTTGTTATACGAGAATTCCGCTAACGGAAGATACGTATCCCAACTGCCCCCAAAATCTAGAACACATGCCCTAAGCATGTCCTCGAGAGTCTGAATCGTCCTCTCGCTCTGCCCGTCAGTCTGAGGGTGAAAAGCGGTGCTGAAATGGAGATGAGTACCCATCTCGTCGTGGAATCGCTTCCAGAATCTGGACGTGAAACGAACATCTCGGTCCGACACCACCGATACCGGCACTCCATGACGTGCCACAATCTCTCGCACATAGATATCGGCTAACTTTTCCGCCGATATACTCTCCTGAATCGGAATAAAATGGGCACTCTTTGTCAACCGATCCACTACTACCCATATCGAGTCCACTCCACGTGCGGTCCTGGGGAGTTTGGTGACAAAATCCATGGTGATGTCCTCCCATTTCCACACGGGAATGTCTAACGGCTGCATCTTGCCGTGAGGTCTTTGGTGCTCCGCCTTGACCTTCCGGCAGGTCAAACATCTCTCCACATACCAAGCGACGTCTCGCTTCATGCAGGGCCACCAATAATCAGGTCGAAGGTCTCGATACATCTTCGTCGCTCCTAGGTGGATAGAAAATCGAGACTTATGAGCCTCGTCCATCAATACTTGCCGTACCCCACCCCAGTACGGTACCCACACCCTACCATGAAGCGTCAACAAACCCCGACTGTCGTAATCAAATGAAGCTACCCGGCCCACTATCCTCTCGCACTTCTGCCTCTCCTCCTTGAGACCCTCCATCTGAGCCTCCTTGATCTGCTCCAACAAGGGAGTGATCACTGTCATCCTCATACACAGATCTCTGATAGGGGCCGCCGACACCTTACGGCTTAGGGCGTCGGCCACCACGTTGGCCTTCCCTGGATGATAAAGGATCTCACAGTCATAGTCCTTCATCACGTCCAACCATCTCCTCTATCTCATGTTCAAACTCGGCTGATCCATAAGATATCGCAAACTCTTGTGGTCCGTGTGGATAGTACAGCGGACCCCATAAAGGTAATGTCTCCAAATCTTGAGGGCAAATACAACTGCCCCCAGCTCCAAGTCGTGGGTAGGATAATTAGCCTCGTGAGGCTTCAACTGTCTCGAGGCATAAGCTACCACATGGCCTCGCTGCATCAACACTGCTCCCATACCTGTGATCGAAACATCACAATAGACTACGAAATCCTCTACACCCTCTGGCAAGGTAAGGATCGGAGCCTCGCACAATCTCTGCCTGAGAGTCTCGAACGCCGCCTGCTGGTCAGGCCCCCAACGAAAAACCACCGATTTCTTGGTTAGTCGGGTGAGCGGCACTGCTATCTTGGAGAAGTCCTGGATAAATCTCCGATAATATCCTGCCAACCCTAGGAAGCTTCGAATCTCAGATGGAGATCTCGGGACCTCCCACTGCATCACGGCCTCAATCTTGGCCGGATCTACCAAAATACCCTTCTGGTTGATGAGATGCCCAAGAAACTGCACCTCGCGCAACCAGAACTCGCACTTGGAGAACTTGGCGAAAAGTCTCTCCCTCCTCAAAGTCTCTAACACCTCCCGCAGGTGCTCCTCGTGCTGCCCCTGGGTCTTGGAATATACCAAGATGTCATCTATGAACACTATCACTGACCGATCCAGCATCGGTCGGCACACGCGGTTCATGAGATCCATGAACGCGGCTGGGGCATTGGTGAGCCCAAATGGCATCACCACGAACTCATAATGACCATACCGGGTCCTGAAAGCAGTCTTCTGTACATCCTCATCCCTAACCCTCATCTGATGGTAACCGGAGCGTAGGTCGATCTTGGAGAACCAAGACGCTCCCTGGAGCGGATCAAACAAGTCATCTATCCTTGGAAGTGGGTAACGGTTCTTCACCGTTACCTTGTTCAACTCCTGATAATCAATACACATCCGATGCGACCCATCCTTCTTCCTCACAAATAAGATCGGTGCTCCCCAAGGCGAACTGCTCGGCCGAATGAAACCCTTGTCTAACAGCTCCTGAAGCTGTGTAGACAACTCCTGCATCTCAGGGGGAGCAAGTCGATACGGTGCTTTGGCTATCGGAGCCGCACCAGGAACTAGGTCAATCCTGAACTCAACCTGCCTCTCAGGAGGTATCCCCGGCAAATCCTCGGGAAACACATCCGGGTAGTCTCGAACAATAGGAACATCATCAATCGTCGTCTTGCCCTTATCCCGGGCATCCAAGACGTAAGCTACAAAACCGGCGCAACCCTACTGAA